ATACCGAAAGTGAAATTACTAAAGATTTGCCCTACCATGTGACAGTACTACTTCAAATGTTGATTGACTTTTCCCCTTCGTAGGTGGAGCAGTGGCCTAATTCTCCTGAGTACCGATCCCAATGTCACAGAAAAGGTCAAGAAGTGTTTTAGATCGTCGCAAGCCTTACAGCAGCCTCCATTGACCTACTGGGCTGTAACGTGTGGAATGCCAAGACCCGTGGCTGTTGCGAAGAGGGTTCCCTTTGGCCTAGAGCATGTTCCGAACACAGGGCATATGGTGAGGGTTTCAGTGTTATTATTTGCGTATTTTGAGTACTGCAAATTTTGGACACTTATGTAAGGAAATGTATAGCTTGCTAATAGAAATGATTTCCATAACTTTTCTTATTCTACATTTTTTCTTTTTAGCCAGTGATTAAGAAAGAGTATGCTAAAAGTGACATCAAAAGCGGGAAAATAAAACTGGCCGTTGTAGAACATGTAACAAAAGTGTTCAGTAAAGAATCAGACATGTCCCTTGTTGAGGTAAGACTTGTTATTTATTGTAGAACTGCAAGAATATCCATTGTATTATATTGTGAAGTGTTCATTCTTACATTTAATCTTATTGTTATAGAATTTAGACCATTCATTTCTTGAATTAATTGAAGAATGCTTTAATGTGGTAATAGTTGGATCCAGATGCTTACTGCCTGCACGTGGTCCAAAATACAGGCATTAGGCTTACTTCAGTGGCGCCACTGTTGAGTATGTGGATTGAAGGCAGTGATAAGACTCCCTGCCCTTTGGAATGTTAATTTCTCATTTACAGCATAAGTGTTTTCAGCTCGTTTAACATTTTCCAATGTCTGTGTCATTTGATTTGCTTTATCCAGATGATAATAGACTTTTCCATGAACAGACTCCATATCCTCTCTTTAGGTAGTCCCTAACTCAGTGCAGTAATGATGATGATAAATAACATGTTATTAGTGTCATTCTAAACTTTTTTGCAATATTCAGTTTTCTGCAATACAACCTGTGCCACCATTTTTGGCGAGCAGAAATAAGATCATGAGTATGGAAATAGTGTCTACCCTGGAGCTGGTGCTTTTCCAGCCATGGCTCACAGATGGCACATTCCACACTTGTTTACCAAAGAGAATAGTGCAAAGGCCTGTCAACCCAAGCTTTCAGACAAAATTCTCATGACAGTAAGTCACCAACCCCTCAAGCCAAATTTTTTCATGAGATGCTCGTCATCCGGATTGTAGAGGTTAACCAAAAAGCTGGTTTGTATGGTAGACTGTACTGTAATTTACTCGTAAAAGAGTTTTGGTACATTTTGCCTCAGTTAATGAATTTGTCTTTCATCAGTACAAGAATTTAATCTTATTTTTTAAAATTCTTAACAGGTTAATGTTCATATCACCAAGAACCATTTCCTGAGAGTATGGCTAGCGTATAGTTACAGCCCAATCTTAGGTGACCATCTTTATGGGGGTAGAGTAAAAACAGTTGCAGGCAAAAAGGTGCTTGTTGGTGAACAGAATCTCACATCGTATGTCCCACAGGTAAGACTTTTGTGCCATTCTATTAATCTTTTAAAGTATTAACCTTTTGACTGAGCCGTGGATAATTTCTAATTTGTACATTGTTGCTGCCTTTCTTGTTGAGAATGACAATAAAGATTCCATGTCTGGCTGCAAAATGCTCCAAAAGAATATTTCTTAATTAAGAAAATTAACCTTTTGAGAAAAAATGAAAATATATTGTTTGTTTACATCCAGAGCAACTATGGTTACTCACAGATCGCAAACATTATTTTGAAAAGCATGAAAATACCTAACATAGTTACAAGTCAATTTGTTATGAGATAATTTTATTATGAAGATTTTGTTTTGCATTGCAGACCACATTCAAGTTTTGCTTTCATATTCCAAGTAGTTTTAATATACTAATTGTTCCTGTACAGACATTGCCTGACAATTTTTTTTCTTTTACTGTTATTCCTAAAAAAAATTGTTTGTTAAACTTTAGTACTTGAAAATTCCAATAGCTAGTCTTATTTAGGTACAAGGCACTGGTTTACCTTTTTATGTTTTTAGAAACAATGATAAATTTTATTTTATATTACTATTATTTTTCTTTTCTTATTTGCAGACTTTACCAGATGATACTTTCTTAAGGTTGAATCTGCCCGACAAAGCAGTAGAGATGATACCTTGCCACTTGCACCTCTCAAAAATAAAACTAAGCCGCTTTGAAAAGAACAGGTCCGACCTGGTCATTACCGCTCCTCCACCTGACCATTTTATGTGGACGTGTAGACAACTTGGACTCATGGCTGCAGATGAGGAAGGTGAACAGGACATTGCGGAGGAGAGTTCACGATAGTACAATAAATTTTAGAGATTGTATATTTATTATTATAGAAGTTGATTTTTTGTTTCAATATGTATGTATAAATGTAAATAAGAACCTTTGAAAGCATAAAACAGTATGCATAAAAAGAATTTTTTAATTTCATAACTTGCTATTTTATTTGAATATATATGTATAAATGTAAATGCGAATCTTAGGAAATAAAACAATATACATATAAAAGATATTTATTTAAAGTTTAAGATAATCAAATAGAACATGAAACAACTGTTTATTATCAGTGGCACCAATTGGTATCGGTGTTAACGAACAGACAAACACGTATCATATCACCGCATGGATGGAGTGAGGACAACACAGTGGAGGAAGTCATGCACAAGAGTAATCCATGGGTTGTTAGTTGCACTTCAATGCTTCCCAATAATTTTCAATAATATTTATTCATCAGTCTCAAGAAAGATCCTTTTATGACACTTTTTAGAGTTCAGTGTATGGTGGGTGGTCAATTTACGTTATTTTTGCTTGTATTTTATTTTCCGTATTATGAAGCTCACAAGCCCATGGATACTAAGGAAGGAAGAGAGAAAACAGAGGGCCTGACTGTATTATAGAATTGTTGGAATATGATACCCATATAGAGACATAGCATTTTCAGTGAAGTACCTTAGCTCTTCAAAATGCTTGTACATATATTGATAAAATTTCTAACCCTATGGCAATTTAATAAATAGGAAGAGCATTAGTTATTGAATATACAATTTGTTTTTTCTCACTGAATACTTTTTTTTTCCACCGGGACTTCACATCAGTTTACGGTTTTTACTATATCATGTTATGCAAATATTTTTGTTAAGCATGTAGAGTTTACAAAAAACATACAATTTAATTTAATGCCACAGTTATAATCCTTCACTTTATTTTACAATACTGCCACCTTTATATGAACCATATCATCTCTTCTCTTACTTCACAAATCACAAGCTCCTACTGTAGAAGTAGACAAACCCTTTCGTTTCATGCCTTTTGCTTTCATTTTAACGCGGAAAATAAACTATCACACCTAATCATTTGGCGGAATAGATATATATATCATGTACAAATGAGAAAGTTCCATACAGATAATTTGAAATTCTAACTGAAATATCAGATCAAACCAACAATATTATTTCCAGTTACAAACTGAATCTCTCTAAACAAATCTTTCTTTAAAGAAGTATTAATGCATTTTACTAAACATGGGGCCACTTTTTACCTGAATTTACAGTGTGAAAGTAAAAATATGAACTATCTTTATTAAATCCATTATCTAGCTATAAGAGTAGGATATTACTCATTACTAGTCACAGGTCAATATACATTTTACTCTGGGAAGAAATTCAAGTTTGTAACTGAAAACTTATCACTTATTTCATATTTTTCTTGGTCAATAATGGGCTTTCACTTTACCAAAACTATACAGAATTTCAAGTTTTATATTTTACTGATAAATATGAAAAGAAATGCACCTGAAGCCCTAACAACCTTGTGTATCACAGGTAAATATGTCAAACTGACAACACTGAAATTTTATTATAAAAAAGATTATGCTATAACACGCAATCCCCTCACCAGAGTTACTAACAAGGTTTCTGATGCTGGATATGATACTCAGATATCTTTTATCCAACTCTTGTTTTCAATCAATAGTACACTAAACCCAACTTCGATAAAAACAATGCCATAGGATAGTGACTATAAATACTGTAACTTAAACCACACTGTAGTATGAAAATAATATTTTACACTGACTAGATCAGTCAAACAAATACACTAACATGTAAATGCTGTATTTGGATGCAACTGTGCTCTTTTACTGTTTGTTATACCCTATTTGTTCAATCACATGGTATTCCTTATACCTACACATAATTTACAAGATAAAATACTGGTGATTAGATTAGTTTGCCACATGTGTTGGCTAAGTGTTTAATTTATTATAAAACAAAAGTCAAATATCCTTTCCCACGTGTGTAAACCATCAGACACCGTTAGGTATTAACAGACCATGTGCTATTATTCATAATTCCACAACACCGTCCAAAACTTCTTGGGTATACGCTGTGCATATCTGTGCATTATGCCTTACATACAGAAATTTCTTTTAAAACAGGAGGAAATATGTAGTAAATCTTTGCTGCACAAGGACACTGCACGAGACAGAAGCTCTTTAACTCTCAAATTGTGTGGATGTCTGGATGATAATTAGTGTAAGCAATTTCGATACAAAATTAGGGCAACACATTTATTGACAGAACAAAATATGATCAATGGCTAGGAATGTGAATAATATAAGAGCACCACTTGGGGGCAAAGTGTATACATATATACATAAAATATAGTAATTAAAACCGGCAGATTCAACAAGTCAGTAAAATGTGCTCTGCTTCTATGTAGAATCACCAAAAATCCTTTTTTTGTGCATGTGTAAATTTGTATTTTTATGTCTGACATTTACATACATATGAGCCCCCCCTCACATCTACCTGTAATAATAATTAATAGTTTCAAGAGTTGATTTGTGGGGATAATTATTTGTCAGAATTATCTTAGGAGAGAGGGACACCTTTGGGGTAATTTCAATCCCTCAAAATGTATAAAAAACGATACTTCTTAATCCTCTAAAAAAATGGAAACAAAAAAATTAAATGTAATGAAATCTACTTCTAAAATCTTTACAAATGGCTTATTTACAGACTAGTTCCCCATGTACCTGGCAACAAGTTTTAAACTAGAGAGAAATCCAAGGTATATTTCAATATGGGACTTATGCTGCTTATCATGCTTAAAGTTGATATATTATTCATGAAATTTGAATAACAAGATATGCATATTATGCAGACACTGAAAATACATAAGTTGAGAGAAAATCAGTCAATAGTTTTCTTCACAATTAAGTATCATTCAATTGTCACTGTAAAATTATTTCCTACAAATCTCTGCAAAAACTTTTACGAAAATGGCAATACAAAGACGTATGAAAGACTCTCAACAACAACAACAACAACAGTTTAAATACAATCATACAAATGCACATGCCTTGGATTCTTTTCATGCTGATGACAACAGATTCTATAAGAATGTTTGGATTCTAGCCTAGAAATTCTCTTGTACACAATAGCTGTAATTCTTGAAAAAAGACCTAGTTTTCTAACAGATCTGGCAGTTGCTCTGGAAATATTCCAGCTCTATGTCTCAACATGATGATGCTGTGATTAAATGCTTTCCCTACATGATTCAGCTACTGCCATGACTAATTTGATTTTTAAAAATCTCTCACATCATTTGCTCTATCTAGTATGTAATGATATTTGAACAGTGTCCTAGATATTTAAAGGGTCGCTAAAGTGAAAGGAATTGTCACTGCTTTCAATCATCTTGATATTTGATTATTCATTCATTTTACTTCAAGAGAAAACCAGCATCTCTGTGGTGAAGATACGCCACAACTTTTGTTTTTACTTTCCTGAAAAAAAGTACTTTATATATCCTCTGTCCCTGATACAGGGAACTACGCCACCTTCTTTTTCCTCTGGTCTCTTCTCTTCTCGTCGTGACTTTGAGGTATTGGGCGTAACTCACGGCAATCCCGCTGGAAGTCAAAACAGGTTTATTATGAGAAAATACTAAAGAATTTTGTCAATGAAATATAATATAGCATATTTCTATTACATAAAATACACATTAATCTAATATATAAGGTCTTTAATTCCTTGGAATATGGAATGTCAAATGTAGAGCAGGTGGCGTATTCAAGAAATTACTTTATAGCACTTTAATTATTCTAGGTATTATCAGTGATATAAAAATAATCAACTTCTGTCCAAAATGATTCTAAATATTTTTGTAAAGAAAAGAAACTTTAAACTGCTACAAAGATATCAACCTTTCTCATAGGAATACTTACAAAATTAACTCTTACTTCCACCATGCAAAAACATTTCAGAGTTGAAAACGTTAACAATGGACTCCTCTTGGACTCTTACCAATAATTCATCATCTGGCACTCTAGAGAGGAAGTCTAAAACCTCGTTGTTAACCATAGAGTGTGGACGTAACAGTTTGCGGGAAAACTTGTTGACGCCCCACATCATAACAAGGTAACGAACAGGAATATAGTAGAGAACTACTGAGCCCACCATCAACACCATGATCAGCAACCACGACAAGAATGGCACCGAAAAGTTGAATGTGCTGTTAGGGTAAAAAAGTAATATTAATACTCATAAAAAACATAATGAAAGCTGGTATATATAACTATAGTGATGGGGCCAGCTTTGTGAGGTAACATTAAACAACAGTCTAAACTTTGTGCCTAGGCCTAAGCTGTGAACAGCCAGCCCACCCGCTGTGAGTCACGACATATTTAAACATCATAGGCTGTTACGTCTTCACAGATATAGCCGTCACCATCACCAAGAAGATATACACTACACACTTTGTTTATTAAAATGTTCTTTTACATTTCTATGTATTCTTGTAATAGATACCTTATAGTAATATTCCTTTTTTTAATGCAGTAAACTTATTAAAATAACATTAATACCATATTAAAGTTCTTCATTAACAATGTGGTCTATAATGAACTTACTTTTTGCAGCTTTCAAAGATGGAAGCAATATAACCTATGGCATTTTGAACTGTTTGAGTAACCTCTTGTATAACTTGCAATCTTTCCTTGAGAGTTTTCTTCTCTTCCTGAAAATATTAGTATTCTTGTAATTCACAGTTAAATATTTTTAAAAACATTTACAGTAATCTAATACTGTATAAACTGCAAATTATGTTTACCCTTCTTTCAGTTCAATTATCAAAGAGAGAGAAAAAAGTAAAATTGCTAAATGTGCAACCAATTTCCAACTACAATTGCAATTAAAATTCTTAGATAACCTTCACCTGGAATACCATGAAAGCTATACTAAATTCTTAATACTTGTGACATCTAGAACCTACATTCTTTCCTACCAAACAAATTACATATAGAGAAATCTATGTTGGCTCTAATTTTGTCACCACAGATTAATGATGTATCTATACGATGGGAAGATGTCTAAGAATGACATACAAGTCAGAAGACCACATACAAGTTGACTTCTGATTGGGACTTGTGTGACTTAACTTTGTTTTCATACAGTGGGAACTGAAAGAAGCAATGCAATGCAATGCTGTAATCTTTCAGATCTCCCGTTGTCTTGCACATTTCTTCAGTGGGGTATAAAAGGTGCGACTCCTGGGTTGGGGAAGTTTGCCGAGACCGCGGGATCCAAGCACCTCTTTCCTGGTGCTTTTGGGTTAGGGGCTCACGGCGGATTCCAATCGTTGAGGTGGCAGTATTGCCGTCTAATTTTACAACTATCTTTACCAGGTTTATTGCCAATACTTAAAGGTCCGATAGTCAGATACGGGAGGAGGAAGGGGCAAGAATGTACCGCATGATCGGAATGAAGTATTTAAAATGCACAAAAATACAACTACCCAAAATAAACTAAATAAAATTTTACTCTACAATATTTTTCTGTAAACAAATGGAATGAATACTAAAATAAATAAATGTATATGTACGATAACGATGTCTGCATACCTTTATCTATGTAGAAAACGTATGAATGAAAATGAATACCTTCACAATACAAGAGATGTATTTGACCGGTTTCGAATATATCTCCATCAGAAAGACATGTATTTCTGATGAAGAAATATTCAAAACCAGTCAACTACATCTCTTATATTGTGAAGGTATTCATTCTCATTCATACCTTTTCTACATCTATCAACATGAATACGGTTCATATCCTTATCTATTCTAATTTATGGTGAACATTACACAACATACTGAATTCAAAATCATATCAAACAAATTAAAATAAAAACATCCTTTACATCTATAAATCTTGAATATTCAATTAATCAATATTTGTCAAAAAACATAATAAATAATCATAAAAAATTAAAATCATGCGTAAATCTTTTTATCTATACAATCAAAGTTTTATGACGCCTGCAATCATTTCCATGTGGCATTCAATCACGTATCATCATAATGCAAATTCCATTATCAACTGCAAATCAACTGTTTAAAAATATTCCGTTTTTAGCTCCCCATACCAAATGCTCTCTCCATTTATTATAAGCCAAAATGTATTAAATGTACATTAAATTCACGCATCCAAGCTTGCCCCATAGTGAATGAGTATTTGTCAATTAATGTTTATAATCCTTGGTCAGTCGTTAGTCTTGTGTTGGCTATTAAGTATTCAGTACAAAACTCTCACAATCAGTCAGTGATTCACACTTTCTGTCAATATCCAGTTGTACATTTGCACTGTACCATACACACAAATATAAACACTGTCGCTCTCCTTTCTTTTCTTCTTTACTCTCTTTCTGCTTCTCTCCTGTCCCTATTTCCCTCTCTCACTCTCACCCTCACATTGTACATTCCACAATACACTCACACTCATGCATATTCACATACCTTCTCACTCTCACAAGCTCTCACCTCGCTCTCTTCCACTACATTTGTGTGCTTGAGCTTCTCTCTTGCTCTTCTTTCACTTCGGCTTTTTGGTGATCTTGCTCTCTAATTTCGAGACATTGAAGCAAATATACAAATGATCCCTATCTCCTCTTTCACTTTGTTTCTTTTTAATTCCTCAGGCTACTTCTCTCATTGCTCTCTCTCTCTCTCATACTTACAGTCTCATTCACACTTGCATTTTCTTGTACTATCTCTCTCTCTCTCTCTCTATCTCTATCTCTCTCTCTCTATCTCTCTCTCTCTCTTCCTTCCGTCACACTCATTTTCTCTCTCTTATTCTTGTTCTTCCTCACTCTTTCCCTCCTCCTCACATTCTCCCAAACTCTCACTCATCCTTATTCTAAATTAAAGAACTAAAGTCAGAAAAAAGTTTTCACAAGAATTAAGAAAAGAACCAAGGCCATTCTAGCATCTTTTGAATATTAGAGTAAAATCAATTAACAAATCTTTTTACTATTTTTTTTTTACAAAATAGGATTATATTCTGATTAAGCATTGTGTATGTGCAAGTATAGGTGAGTGAGTGAGTGAGTGCATGTGTGTGTGTGTGTGTGTGTGTGTGTGTGTGTGTGTGTGTGTGTGTGTGTGTGTGTGTGTGTGTGTGTGTGTGTGTGTGTGTGTGTGTGTTGTGCGTGTGTGTGTGTGTGTGTGTGTGTGTGTGTGTTGTGTGTGTGTGTGTGTGTGTGTGTGTGTGTGTGTGTGTGTGTGTGTGTGTGTGTGTGTGTGTGTTGTGTGTGTGATGCTGTGTGCGTGTGTGTGTGCTTGTGTGTGTGTGTGTGTGTTTGTGTGTGTGTGTGTGTGTGTGTGTGTGTGTGTGCGTGCGTGTGTTTTGCTTTATTGGAGAAGTGTGAGTGTGTATACCTGCATGGTGCTTGTGCTGGAGGGTATGCATGCTTACGGTTTATCGTGTGTGTGCGTGTGTGTATGCGTGTGCCTGTGCAAGTGTGTGGAAATATGATTCCTATTTTGCATTTAACACACATTAGTCAAGCATTAAGATCCCTTTTTCCATGAAATAAATCCATCTTCTAATACATATTAGTCACCCATAAAATCCTTTGTGTATATATAAAATCAACCTTTACCGTGTTAATGAAATAGATACGGAAAAAACAGGGAAGTAGTAAGACATCCAAGATATGTAATATATGGTAATTTTGAAATAGGCATTCTACTATACTTCAAAATTACTGCTTTAATCCGCAACTCGTTCTGTTCAGACTGAAATACTGGGTTGCCATCAATCCCTTTGCTTACCATACACCACAAACCAGAGTTATCCACAAGTCAGGGTTAAGAAGCGAAAATGCAAGCAAGCATTGAAGTGCATTCCAAAGAAGCACCACTTGGATCCCAAAAGCTTCCACGCGTTAGTTACAGGTTAGTTCTCTCTCCCTCACCTTACTTTTGAGGTCATTAGGGGATGCATTAATTCCACATTCCTTACGACTCTCTGTTTTTCTTACCTCTACGCTCATATTCTGGAAAAACAGCCAGGTATATATGAAAAGGGTGATAATCGATGTGTCATGCTGTAAAAACACTTAAAGGTAAAGTATATCCATAATGTGCGAAAAAAAAATTAAAACAATTAAGAACACATTACAGCAGCACTACTGCTATATCACACAAAGCGGAAAAAATAGCAACCAAAGAATTATTAATAAAACACAAAACAACACACATTAAAACTGGGGAAAAGACCAAACACTTCTGTACAAAGTACTATCTAGAGTAAACCAGTTAAAAAATAAAAGTATAGTTAATAAAAAATGTACAAATATTCAGAGACTAGAAGAAATAAATCATTTACCAATATTTGATCAAAAATAGCAATCAAGAAATCAAGATGTAAAAATTAAGATTTCCACCTTAAATCATCAGCTCTTGTCTATTACCACATCTGAGATGTTTTTTTGCTTGTATGATAAAGGAATTCATATATAAAATCAAATGATAGATTCTTCATTAAATCTTGGTGGAAAGTGGATAGCCTATCCCTTGTGGTAACTGTGAATTTTAATTTTCAGACAGGAGACCAATCACCAATTCTAGCTGTAATATGAATCAATTTAACAAAGAGACAAAAACAGAGAAACAAAAGAACATACTTCTATTGACTATTCTCTATAACATGCAATAAAAGGCACATAAGCCTATCTAAAAACCATAAACATTATCCTAAATTCTACTCAGTAAAATAAATATAAAGTTTAGAAACTACGGACAAATGCATTTACACTCTTATATTAACGCCAAACTGTGTTTTGGCTTTGGATCTACTGAACTAATCAACCTACAAAGATACAAATAGAAGCATGCAAAATTCGCCTCATATCTATAATTCATCTACCTTATCCTTATCATCATCATCAACTTCCTCCTCATCTCCAGACAGTTCACTCTCTTCTTCTCGATGCATACTACCAACTATAGAGATTACCTGTTAAAGGGGGACGTGAAAAAATAAATGAGCATTGTTGAAATATAATATCACCAACAAATACTTCTAATCATTGTAAATTCAGTTTTCACGTTTCTGAAATTCTTTAAAAAATGCATTAGCACATACAAAATTACAAATAAACAGATCCATAAACAATGGTATTGCATGCATAAATAGATATACATGTATGCATTGCTATACATTATAAGTGTGTGTCTATGCATACATGCACACAATTGTCACTTACAGTATTTTTTCTCAATATCTCAACAAAAATACTAATTCAAACATAAATCCATAAACTGAATGTTGTACTATATCAAAAGAATTCATTCATACAAAATAAGCATAAAATAAGGATTAACCAAACAACTTTAAAACCCTTACAATGTAGTTTCTGAGGAAGAGCATAAGCAGGAGGATTGGCAGCATGTAGACCTCGAAGTAGTATGTTATGACCATGAATAATATGAATGCTATGATGCTCCGAACAGGTGATTCCCACTCCCAGCATGATCTGTTGAAAGGAATATCAGGTTAGAGACTTTGTCAAAATATGCTGTTAATTAATCTAACTACACGAGTGGAGGTATGATAACAATGTGTTACAGAATTGCAAACTAATATGAGACTTGATAGAGATGAGAGAGAGACAGGAGAGGAAGGAGGAGGAAGAGGTGGTGAGAGGAGGGGGGAAGGGGAAGGGGAGGTGGAGGTGGAGGAGGAGCAGGAGGGTGAAGAGAGGATTGAGGAGGGAGTAGGAGAGAGGAGGGAAGAGGAGGAGGAGGAGGGATGAAGAGGGCAGAGAAGGAAGGATGAAGAGGGAGGAGGAGGAAGAGGAGGAAGGATGAGGAGGGAGGAGGAGGAGGAGAAAGGAGGAGGAAAGGAGGAGGATAAGGATAAGGATGAGGAGGGAGGATGAGGAGGAGGAAGAGGAGGGAGGATGAGGATGAGGATGAGGAGGGAGGAGGATGTGGAGGAAGAAGAGGAGGGAGGAGGATGTAAAGGAGAAAAGTTAGGCAAGGGGGAGACATAAAGAAAGAGGAAGAGAGAGAAACAGAAATCAGGAGGGAAAGTGAGATAAACTCATCTTTCATTATCAAAATGCTCCAATAAAGAACTTACTTGATAAATTTCCCTAACTCATAGAAATCCATGATGGAAGACTTAAGGCGATTGACATTTTTGATAAATACTTGGCGCTTGAATTTCTGTTCCGTCTGCATGTACTTCTCCTCTCTTGGAGTGAAAGTTCGGATGGCAGCACGGACCTGGAGTACAGAGAACAGGTTGAGATTTCATTTAACCATTAAAAAAAAAAAAAAGAATTGTGACTGGAGTGTTTCTACTCTTGTATATGATGTTCAAAGCTAATTCTGATGAAAGTGGAAGAACTAAGGATAAAGTTATGGTCTATGGTTTATTAGTTTTATACTTCTCATTCAGAAAATATGTCAAATGTGATCTGAATTCTGGCTTATAGGACCAGATAAGGGATATGCTACTTTCTTCCCTACTCAACCAACTTTCTTTTCAACTCAATACGATTTTTTCCCCTTGTTCAGCCCAGTTCTTTCCCCTCTCATCCCACTTTCTTCCCACTTAAATCCACCCTTTAGGTAATTTTCCTGGTTTTGAAGCTTCATTCACATCACAACTTTGGTCTGATTCCACATATCATTTTTCTATTAAATCTATATTTCAAATGGTTACTTTTTCACCTAAATACGACATCAAATACATACTGGATTCCATTCAACAGAACACTCTAGCAGAATCTCCGGATTATTCCCCTTTGCACGAGCACGTAGCTTTTTATCCTTCAACGGATACCTATTTTTGGAAAACAAAAGAGATTATAAAATGAACTACATACATGGAATAATAATTTCAAAATTTAAGCAAACATTTTAAATCACAATATATCAAAGGTGAAATGAATATGAAAGGCAAACATCATGATCATTATGTCTTGTGAAAACAGTAAGAAAAGAAAAGGAAATATAAGCACAAAGAACAAACATTTACCATTTCTTCTCGCCATTCTTCATCCGAAGTAAAGGAATGACGACTTTCCCTAGAAACTCAACCTTGTGGTCTCTGTCTTCATCATAGACTGTGACATCCAAAACATTATGGATATCTTTAACATTGCTGAAAAATTAGGGAAATTAGGTAATTAGAATTTATCAACATGAGTATGAAATACAGTGACTCAATTTGTAATGAGTGGTTATACAAATGGAAATATAAAAGATTTCTTTTCAATATTATGAATACTTTTACTAATATAACAAAATAGCTCCAATGTCTTTTTTCAACACCAAATACAATAAACATTTACTGCTTCTTTGGGCCTATATAAATCATCAGAAATGAAATACTAACAAGGTGAAAATCTTATTCCATGTGGGGGAGAGTGTCTTGTACTCAGTCTGTGTCTGAAGTCTCGCATTGCAAAGTTCCAAGACACAAAATGGGTCACTTTTGCCGCCTATGTCTGCTGCTGCCAAGCCCTGCGCCCGATACACCTTGACCCGCAGGTGACCAATGTCTTTCAGGTTGTGAAGAGATCTTGTTAAGGCCTAGAAGGGCAAAGAATAAACCATGTGAAAAAAGACGATTTGCTAAATGTGTCCTCCATAAATACAATACATACATCATCACATATATCTAAAATTATATCCTTTTCTACTTAAAAAAAAAAAAGAAAAAAGAAGATATATATATAATATATATATATATATATATATATATATATATATATATATATATATATATATATATATATAAAAGAAGAAGAAGAAGAAGAAGAAGAAAAAAAATATATACATTATATACACATATATATATACATATATACTTACATATCTCTTGGAAACATTATCCAATTCTCTGGGATTCTCCTGGTATGAATGAAGGTCTGATATGGTTTCAGAAGAAGTCGTTCCAGAAATTGTGAGGAGGAGGAATATGGAGCCGGCTCCCTTTTCTAATTCTGCCCAAATGTGGTGGGTCTTCTCACGCTCGTACTGTGTCAAGTCCAGCGTGCATCTGTTGTGAAAACATATGATTCTAAGCTTTTGGAAAATATATGATACGTAATGTTATGTAAAGAGACTGACTACCTGTCACTCAATTCTTTCTTCACTTGTCTTTTGCAACTCTGATATTTTCTCTCACACATGCTGTCACTCATCATCTCTTTCTCACACATTCACTCACTCATTCCTTGCATTTGCACATTTACACATGTACATATGTACAGTGCACATACATGCTTAAACATACAAATACAGATGTACATGTACCTGTACATGTAAAATAGATTACAGAGCAAGTGAGAGATAAAAAGAAACAAACGGAGATACAGACATCCAACACATGGGAGTTACAGACCCCAGACAGACAAGCCACACAGCCAAAATCTTACCTTCCCATGAAATCGTCTTTACTCCGAACATCTTTATCCCACACAGTCAGTTCCAAGAGCTGGCTCTGATCCTCAAAAAGGTGGAAATCAAATTGCTCCAGCCACTTCGGAGTTAGCGTGTGCATCTCCACCTTGCTCTTGTATTTCTCATTGCCAAGCCTAGGAAATTTGGGAGCAAAAAAAAAAAATAGTAATGGTAAATGTCTCACGTTATGCAAGAGATTGAACTTTAGAAAAAAAGCATAGTTATTTGTGGTAAAAGGTGGGTTTTTGCTTTCCTTTAACCATAATCATAAACGCAAGCACCAGCTCCGTAAATCAAACATGCTAAATAAACGAGTATTATTTATCTGAGACAAATAAAACCATAAAATTAAATAATTAATAACGATACATAAAATAAACTGCAAGAGGCCATTCATGCTTCATAATATATCTAAAATATGTAGGAAAAAAGGTGAATGTCATATTCTATCATATATAGTGGATTTATGAAGTGCCATAATACTTTTACGAAATAAAATGAAAAATTAAAAGCAGTAAAAATATCATCCTACAAACTGCTCACTAATGATTGATGATGACGATGATGACTGACTATGATGATGGTGACTGATATTGGTGATGATAACATGATGATGAATGATGACTGACTATGATGATGACTGATGGATGATGATGATGATGATGATGATGATGATGATGATGATATGATGATGATGATGATGATGATGATGATTGATGATGATGACTAATGATGATTGATGATGATGCGAGTAATAATGTTAATACAAAAACAAGGTTCTGAAAAATAAAAATACATCAGAATAGATTTATAAAAAAAAATACTAATGCAAAATAGTTAAGAATGTACAAGCATTTAACATTTTAGGATAATTTATCACTGAAGATGTTGCTGTAATATGCAGCTGGAACGCACACAAAAAAAAGGAAAAAGAAAAAGAAGAGAGAGAGAGGAATAAATTGCATTAAAATCTCACATTAAAAACTAAAGTGAAGCTGCAACTATATTCAGCAATACTTTGAATGGTCGTAAGAAAAACCTTCAAATAACAAAGAACACGAGGAAGAGGAGGAGAAGCGATTATAAACTATGTAACAGTCTGAAGGTTTACATATCTGATTAAATCATACTTAATTAGCATCTTAAAAGTCCGAAAAGTATTTCTGCACTTTGTCCAAAGAATTTTTTCCATTATTGCCAGTACACTTACAAATTCATGTGTTACATATGAAAAAAAAAAAAAAAAAAAATTCTAAAAGTGCTAGAAAAATAAATGCAAAATAATCAAAGAATATAAATTAAAAAACAGTAATAAATGCTAAAAACTAATGTACCATAATGGCCACTCGCATCCTCACCTGAATTTCACATAGGGATCCGAAGTGCCGTCAGGATCCATAGGAAGGAGCTCTTTGCCTTCAACCAGGACGATAGTAACCACGGAACTCCATATCTGACTCTTAAGGCGACGTTGCTGCTCGGCCAGTCTCGAACCTCCGCGTTGCAAATACTGTGTGGGAAAGAAGGTCATATGTGAAGATTTTGAAGATTTTGTGGGAATTGCGTGGGTGTTAAATAGGTTGCTGCTTAAGCTTGTAAAAGTGTTGAATGATTTGATAATTACAAGGCAAAAAGTTAGAGGCAGAGGAAGGAGAGGTGAAGAGCAGAAAGGAGAGGAAAGATTCATGTCTTAATCAATATTGATTTAAACATGGAAAAAACCAACTTACCACTCTATATTAAAGGAGTAAATAAAGACATATGAACTGTACATTTGATTTTGCTAAATAATGACCACATGTTGAAATAATGTGGATGATAATACCAACTTTTACTCTAATGCCTGACAAAATATTTGTATTTATATAAATAAACCATTAATTTGTGTGTGTGTGTGTGTGTGTGTGTGTGTGTGTGTGTGTGTGTGTGTGTGTGTGTTGTGTGTGTTGTGTGTGTGTGTGTGTGTGCGCGCGCACACACACCATAAATACTAGAGCAATCAAGGTAACAGCGGTCGTAATCACCGCCATTGTTGGCCATCAGACAGGGTCTCCAACTTACTTCGGCCACTTTGCTGAGAGTGTCCCCCAGCGTTTTGTGGCTCTTGCCGTGCTCGCCAGGGTTCCCCGCGGGATTGTCTTTGTGCTTCGCCTGGCCTGCGGCCTCCGCCTTGTGCTCCTCCGCGTGAGGCACCATGGAGGAGCGGCGCGACGACGAGAAGAAGTGGCCGAAGAAGAGCTTGTGGTCGGAGTGGGGCAGCGAGGCCGAGTCCTGCCGCTCGTCCCGACTGTGCTGCGAGCTGCTGTCGTCGTCGGTGCCGCCGTCGGAGTGGTCCGAGTAGCTGCTCGAGCGGAGGGACACCGAGGGCACCAGCAGGGAGCGCTTGGTCAGGGGCGCCTCGGAATCCCTCCTGTGCACGTCGTACTCCTCGGAGGAAATGTAGCTGCACGTCTTCGTGGACGAGAAGGAGTAGTCGATGGAGCGACTGTGCTCCGTGTCGTTCTCGCTCTTGCTGCCCTGGCACTGCAGCTCCTCGCTGGAGGTCACCACGCTGATGTCCTCCGTCCCCGTGCATATCATGCCCTCCACGAAGGCATGGTGCAGCGCCTCGGACAGCACGGAATACGTCTGCGACTTCCCCATGACCGGGCTGTTCACCGACAGAAACTCCTTGGGCGACTCGCACATGAACTCCTCGTTGGAGGTCGTGACGGCATGGCTGTTGAGCAGCATGCCGGCCAGGTCGTGCCTCTCCACCGAGTCCTGGCTCTCGGTTGCCCGCGGGGACCGCAGGAGGAGGCGGTGGCTGTCATGGCCGTCGGAGTCGCTCGACAGGTCGCACTTGAACTCCTCTCCCACCTCCGAGCCGCCGTCCTCCTCCCGGTCCTCGGTGCTCGGGGAGGGCGTGCGGCTCCTGAAGACCTTCCTGAAGGCCTTGGCGAAGGAGCCCCCGACTCGGTCCTTCTTCCCGAGCTTGTGCAGGCCCAGGGGACTGCTGCTCCTCAGCTCAGGGGAGCCCGAGTCCTTCTTCCGCAGGGGCTTGAGGGGGCTGAGGGGCTCGCTGATGGTCACCTGCAGAGTGCCGTGCCCGACGCCATCGCGCGGCGGCGACGCGCTCACGCCCTCGCTCGTCATGGTCACATCCTCTGTGTTCGTGATAACATGATGGCTCCTGAACTCAGTCTCTTCATGCAGAAGCTGAGGATTGCCAAAACATTGGGATGACTACATCACTTCTCACAACACTTTCGGCGTATTTGCACGGACACCATAAATTGCCTGTTTTCCAGCGCCACAGGATCACACATCGAAGGGAAAAACCGCTTGCAGTTTTCCATTACACCAAGAAAAATGCGAAATCGAAACACGCGCACGCACCTCCCCCCCCCCGCCCCCACGCAAAAAACACCCCCCACCCAATTCAAAATAAGAATCAGTTTACCCCATAGTCAGGAAAAGACAAATGGTCCGATGTAAACTATAATCCACAAGGCAAATAAATATCAAGGAAAACAGGTACTGGAATTGAAAAATACAAAATTCCCGCTTCCTTCCACCTCATTCTCATTTGCCTCTTAAGGATGACCTGACACACTGAAGGCCTGGTCAAGATGAATCAACTTAGACACCAGTAATCGTATCCTTCTGACCCTTTCGCACAGAGACAAGAATCCACAGGTCAGAAGGGAGGTCAAGACTGACCGTGCCATCTTCCCACCGGCAACCGTCGGCCCTCGCCTAAGGCCCTGTCGGCTAAACCCCGAGCGGGGCCTTAACATGGTCTCCCTAATTTGAAAAAAAAAAATATGAACGATTCCACAAAACAATAAAGTGAAAAGCAAAAAACATGAGAGGAGGGAGTATGAGACAGTGTGAAGACGTGGATGTAAACAAACGTGTTTTTTCTCGCATAAACAAAACATGAATTAAGACGAGAAAATGTAAACAAACGTTTATTCGCATAAACACAACACAAATCGCATCTAACTTGCATTAAAAATACAATGCGACAAAAGTGAATAATGCGCTGATTCACTTGTCCAAATTACCAACATAAATTTAAAACTGTAAACATAAATTTTGACTTAAGAGCAAAACGGGGCGGCGCGCACACATGAATATATACATAACTACATTTGCACGCACATCCTATATGCAAACATTCTCGCCAAAATATAAGCATCATAGAACACGTTAAGAGAATTTGCAATATCATGTTGTATGACTGGCGGGGTTAAAAACAAAAGCGAAAATGCCGATATCAAAATGGAATTTAATATCGGCAGTGTTTAATATCGACAGAGAGGTCAACATGTTAACTTTTCTTTAAACGCTCAAAAATTTCCTCATTTTTCTTTTCTCTCGAGCGTTTCACAACATACAAAAAAATTAAAACTGTAAATCGTGATGATTGATGTTCATGGAAATGTGAATTCTCTTTCGAAAAAAAACAAATGTAATATTTTGTAAGCGTATCTGTGACAAAACGGTTTTATTAACGTCACGCCTCGAAATCACTAAAATCATTTCACGCAATCTGATAAAAGAACCTCGCTAATCTGACAACATACCAAATCTTCATCTAATTAACATAACTACTCTACCACGCGGTAATGACCTTGTAAAGTGCTTAAAAAAGGTCGTTGTCACCACACTGTCACAAACACCTGGGACCTTGAACGTGTAAACCCATTCTAATTAGGAAAAAATTAGAAGGCAGTTCATTATAGTGACCCAGAAAAGTCCGAGATGTAGGACAGGAAGGTATGGGCATCGGGTACGAAACCGTTTTCTTTTCTTACGCGAGTTGGCCGTGAGAGGGGGGGGACTTCGCTAAATCTGGCAATACCCCTCCCCCCCTCTCCCCTACGCCGGAAAGTACCAACCATGAAGTTTCTCTTTAATAAGTCTCGCACTAACTCTAAGCCTAACTTAAAAGTTTCCAATCCACTTACTCTATAAAAGGTAAGAAGATTAAGAGCTTGAAATAATCCCCAAAAGCAGGCAAAATTGACGAGTTTTAAATCATATTTCCCGCCAATTTTAAACATTCCAACTCGAACGCGACAAACAACAACAAGGAAACGTGATACACAAAAAAATATATATGGACATCTATGTACCCTTGGTCGATATAAGCCACACAACAACAACACAGATAGTTACCCTTGGTACAATTCGTATGCAAATAAGTGTGTGACGTCAGAAATATAGCATAAACGACCCGCAGTTTTTTTCCCATCGCGTTCGTGTTAGCAGGTTAGCACAACAATGTCACCCGTATTACGTAAACACCCCCAGCACCTCTACAACACCAACAACAACACAAACAGTTACCCTTGGTGCAATTCGTATGCAAATAAGTGTGTGACGTCAGAAATGTAGCATAATAGCATGGGATACCAGGCAGTTTTTATTATCATCTTTTATTCATTCATTTATTTATTTATCTTTGACTCTTTCCCCGTCGCGTTCGTGTAAGCAGGTTAGCGTCGCAATGCCACAAAATTACGTAAACATATCCGGTAAACAACAAACAAGGGGAAAAAATAGGAACTTGCAAAAAATAACACAGCGTACATTGTACATGTATATGAAAAATTCATATAAAAAAATAAAAAATCTTATAATAGAAGTATAAGACAGTAGTGAGTTCGAATTAAAGGCAGTGGTCACACACGTTGTCTGGGTAAAGCCACACTGTGTATGCAAATTTATTTTCTTGGAGGGGGAGGGGGGGGAGGGAGAGGGAGAGGGGGAGAATGGGAAAGGGACCAGAGGGGTGAGGAAGAGAGAGGAAAAGAGGAAGAGGGGAAGAGAGAGAAAGAGGGGAAGAGAGAGAAAGGGGGAAGAGAGAGAAAGAAGAGAGAGAAAGGGGAGAGAGAGAAAGAGGGGAAGAGAGAGAAAGGGGGAAGAGAGAGAAAGAGGGGAAGAGAGAGAAAAGAGAAGAGAGAAAAGAGGGGAAGAGAGAGAAAGAAGGCGAAAAGTAGGCGTAGGAACGAGGGGAGGAAAAGAAAAAGGAAGAGAGGAAAGAGAGAAAGACAAAAAAAAAAAGATAGAAAGAAGGAAAAAAGAAAGACACTAAAAAAAAGACAAGAAAAAGACCCACCTAATTACACACACAAAAAGAAAAAAATGAAGACCAGTAAACAACGATAATTATGATGACACATCCCACTGCGCCTACGATTCCGCGCAATTAAACAAACAGAAATCCATCTAATTCATAAAAAATGTCACGATAAATGAGCGACGTGCCTAAACAAAATACATAAACACAAATAAAATAAATACTACGCACATACTTCTAACTGGCCTGATTTACCCTATGATCTCGTAATAGTAACGCGACAGATTTATAAATAATAGTAACGTGACAGATAAACCTATAGGAACGTGAGGGAAACAAACTTAAAACTATTAGAACTCTGGGGAGACAAACCTAAACCTTTTTCGACTTATGAACGACAAACCTAAAAATTTAGAACGGTGTAACCCCCCCCTCCCTCCCCCCCCAAAAAAAGTTAAAAGACAAAATAGAAAAAAAAAGGAAAAAAATTAAAAACTTTACAAGCATCTCATTCAAAAGCGACGCTAAGGTGGAGCGAGACTTTTCATGACCTCGTTAAAATCTACGTTTTCCTTCCTTGCGACTTGTCAAGGAGCAAAGTTGGAAGCTGTCATTTGCTCACTCTTGCTGTCACTTTCCGAAGAGGAGAGAGAGAGAGAGGGAGAGAGGAGAGAAGAGGAGAGAGGGAGAGAGAGGAGAGAGAGAGAGGAGGAGAGAGGAGGAGAGAGGGGAGAGGAGGGAGGATGAGGGAGGGAGGGAGGGGGAGGGAGGGAGGGAGAGAGAGAGAGAGAGAGAGAGAGAGAGAGAGAGAGAGAGAGAGAGAGAGAGAGAGAGAGAGAGAGAGAGAGAGAGAGAGAGAGAGAGAGGGAGGGAGGGGAGAGGGAGAGGAGAGGGAGAGGGAGAGGGAGAGGGGAGAAAGGGAGAGTGGAGAGGAGAGAAATATATAAAACACTGACCATCAAATATTATCTTATTCCCTCTCTCTCTCTCTCTCTTAGTCTCCCACCCCCCTTCTCTTTCCTTCCTTCCTTCTCCCCCCCTTTCTCTCTCTATCCCTATCCCTCTTCTTCCCTCTTCCCCTTCCTATCTCTCTCTTCCCTTCTCCCTCTCTCCAACACATAATTAGCGACGCCACAACCTAATAACACGAACCAAACGAGGGAACCGGGAAAGGGGAAAGCTTCAGGGGAAAAAGGTTCCTCGGCCAGCTAGGGTTTCGGAGCTCTCCCCTTAAGTCCCCCGCGACTGAGTACCTTAGTGATGAGGGAAGGGCGGAAGGGGAAGCACGTACACCATTTATTGCCGGTCTTAGGGGTTGCCTTTGTATCTGTCTTACACGCGTGAGGCCGGGTTGGGAAGAGGGTTAATGGAAGGGGGAGGGAGGGAGCGGGAGGGAAGGGGAGGGAGGGAGGGAGAGGGGAGGGGGGAGGGAGAGGGGGAGGGGGAGGAAGGAGGAGGGAGGGAAAGGAGGGAGAGGGAGAGAGAGAGATAGGGAGGAGGGGAGGGAGGGAAGGAGGGAAGGAGGGAAGGAGGGAAGGGGGGAAGGAGGGAGGGAGGGAGGGAGGGGAAGGGGGGGTGGGGGAAAATAGAAAGGATGGGTAAGAGGGAGAGAGATCCTTGAATGGATACATGGGTGGATGGATGAGAGAGGAGAGAGGGATGGAAAGGATATATATATATATATATATATATATATATATATATATATATAATATATATATATATATATATATATATATGTATATATATATAATATACAATATATATATTTTTTTAATATTATTATCAAATTGGTGGTGGTGGTGAGAGAGAGAAGAAAAATAAAGACAAAAAGAAGGAACGACAGAAAGAAAGAAAAAAAAATGAGTAACCAATAGAGAACCCTCCCCAACCAAGACCCCCCCTCCCCCACCAAAACCCAACCCAACTCCCCCCAACCTCGACTCCAAACCACAAGAGAGGACAGCCTTAGTACACCCTCCATAACCTCCCCTTTGCCCCCCATCCCTCGCTCCCCCTCCTCCTCCCCCCTCCTCCTTACCCACTCCCTTCCCCCTCCCTTCCCCACCCTCCGCCCCAACGCCCTTCCCCTTCTCCCTCCCTCCTCCCTACCACACCGCCCCTCCCTCGTCCCCCCTCCCCCCACCCCTCCCTTTTCCCCCCTCCCTCCCCTCCTTACCGCTCCTCCCCACACCCCTCCGCCTCCCTCCCCCCTTTCCCTCGAGTACCACTTCCTTCGCCTCTCTTCGCTTCCCCGACTGCTGCGATATGTCTCCCTCGGGCATGACCACCAGCCTTCACTCCGCCCGAGATTGGCATTATGTTGGGGAGGAGAGACAGGGCCATGCGTTACGGAGGGAGGGAGGGAGGAGAGAGGGGCGGGGGGGTGGGAGGAGAGGGAGAGGAGGAGGAAGGGGAAAGGAAGGGGAGGGACGGAGGAGGAGGGTGAGGAAGGGTGGGGGGAGAGGTTGGAGGAGGGAGGAGAGGGAGGGAGGGGAGGGAGGGGAGGGAGGGAGGGGGGAGGAGAGCGGTGAGGATGAGAGGTGGAGGAGGAAGGGGGAGGGGGAGGAGAGGGAAGGGGGGAAGAGGGGAGGAAGGGAGGGAGGGGGACGGAGAGGGAGGAGGGAGAGGAGGGACGGGGAGGGGAGGAAGGCGAGAAGGGGAAGGGGGAGGAGAGGGAGGAAGGAAGGAAGGGGTAGGAGAGGGAGAAGGGGGAGGGGGGGGGAGGGAGGGGGAAGAAGGGAAGGGAGAGGCAGAGAGCAGGTAGGGAGGAAAAAAAGGGGAGATGGGAGAAAAAAAAAAATACAGCCGATATTTCTTAATTCCGAACAACATCCGTCCATAAATCTAACTCCCCCAACCCTTAACAACATCCATCATAATAAGCTCACCGGTAAACATGACACCAAATAGTATTACCAACATAATAGATAAAAAAGAGAGAGAGAAAAAATAATGTAATGTCAGTCATACCTTCTTCTTTGTCTAAAAATACCACAGAAATGCTGATTTTCATTTCCTCAATCACGAACGCAATCAAACAGAAATGAAGGAAAATTTGCATGGAGGAAGGCAGGAGGGGAGGAAGGAGGGAGGGGAGGGGAGGAGGGAGAGAAGGGACGGAGTGGAGAGGGAGGGAAGGGAGAGGAGAGGGAGGAGAGGGGAGAAGGGAGAGGGAGGGAGAGGAAGAGAGGAGAGGGAGGGAGGAGAGGGAGGAAGGGAGGGAGGAGGCAGGGAGAGGAGAAGGGAGGAGGGAGAGGGAGAGAAGGAGAGGGAGGAGAGGAGAGAAGGAGAGGGGAGGGAGAGAAGGAGAGGGAGAGAGAGGGGAGAGAGAGAGAGAGAGAGAGAGGAGAGGAGAGAGAGAGAGAGAGAGAGAGACGAGAGAGGAGAGAGAGAGAGAGAGAGAGAGAGAGAGAGAGAGAGGACGAGAGAGAGAAGAGGAGAGAGAGTGAGAGAGAGAGGAGAGAGAGAGAGGGAGAGAGAGAGAGAGAGAAGAGAGAGAGAGAGCGAGAGAGAGACGAGAGAGAAGAGAGAGAGAGAGAGAGAGAGAGAGAGGGAAGAGAGAGAGAGAGAGAGAGAGAGAGAGAAGAGGAAGAAGAAAAGGAAAATAAATAAATAAATAAAAGGAGGAGGGAGAGAAAAAAAAAGAAGGAAAGAGCGCAGGAACCAGGAACCAACGAAAGAAACAGAGCGAGAAATGAGAGAAAGAGGAAGAGAGGGAAATTAGATAAAGAGCATCTTCAGAGGAAATTACACAATTTTCACATCAAATGAGGGATGTTATGAGAACAAAGACAAAAGGAATCATGAACCGGATTTCGTATAATTTCAAATAATGGAGGACATACGGCGAGCAGTAATGGCGAAGAATGGAGAAAATGAAAAGAACATTAAAAATATGACACTAAGATATATATAAAAAAAAGCTATTTCGGAACTTCCATCAACTTATAGTTTCTTAATTCCATATATATCTATCTATTCATCTCATCTATCTCTTTTCTCAACTCCGTATATCTATCTTATCTATCCATCTACATTTTCGTAACTCTTTTCGTAAACGTATATCTATTCTATTCTAAAGTA